ACAAATAAATTGTATAGTATTAAAAACAAAATTAACCATATCATGACAGGACATTAAAAAAAAAATAATTATTTAAAATTTTTAAATTTTTTTTTTTAAAAATTTTTTTTTTTAATTTTTTTTATTTTAATTTATTTGTTTAATTTTTTTTTTTTAAAATTTTAAATAAAAAAATTTTAATTAAATTTTATTTTTTAATTTTTTAAATAATAATTTTAATTTTTTTTTTTTTTTTTATTTTTTTTTTTTTTATATTAAAATTTATTTTATAAATATTTTTATTTTAATTTTTTTTTTTTTTTTTTTTTTTTTTTTTTTTAAATTTTTTTTTTTTTTTTTTTTTTTTTTTTTTTTTTTTTTTTTTTTTTTTTTTTTTTTTTTATTTTAATTTTTTATTTTTTAAAAAAATTAAAAATTTTTTTTTTTAAAAAATTAATTTTTTTAAAAAAAAAAAATTTTTTTTTTTTTTTTTTTAATAATTTTTTTTTTTTTTTTTTTATAAAATTAAAAATTTTTTTTTTTTTTTTTTTTTTTTATTTTTTGTTTAAATGCTAAGGTACTAAATTCCAGAAGATGAGGGCGTCAATAGAAGCCAGGCGTACACAATGGCTTTATTTCTATTTGAAATTTTCGTGGGCTTCGAATTTTCAGTGCTTTGATTAATGTTTTTTTAAAGGTCCGAGGCAGTACTCTCGACGGCATGCCTTTAATTAATTAATATGGGTGTTTCTACAAGTAATACAAAACAACATAACGCTAAATCCGTGCTATATTAATTTCTGATCATTCACACAGCTTTAGCTGCTACCAGTTCTTGGTTAGCTTCGGCTACCAAACCACGTAAAGCTTCCATTTGACACCCTCGGCCTTTTCGAGAGCCATTTTTTCCTAAAAAGCGCCCTAAAAGAGGCAAAAAAATTGATATTTAATGCCCAGCAAAAACGATCGTCAATTGTTCCATCGAATCCAGCGCAATTTTTCACGCCATATAGCCTGATTTCATGCCAATCTGAGGAGGACTGCAAATTCCGGGGAGTCCCTTGGACGGGGATGCGGATTCCATTACCCCCCAGGAACATTTCGGACTGACGAATCTCACACGCACCCACACCCCGGGAGGCCCAAATAGTCGGGTGGTGCTCATAAAATAGCCCGCCGAGGGGCACACACGTTATTCCTTTTGGCGTACTATTATTGATGGGTGCAGCTGGCTAATTAGCCACATTTGCTTGTATAAGTATGCATACCCATAATCGAAGCGGAAACGTCTCGACGACGCTGAGGTTACGATTTCAGGGGGTGAGCACCTTAAATCATTTTGTTATCATTGATGCGTTTAATAATGAAATAAATTACAATTAATGAAATTATACAGATTATTTTTTAAGTGTAGTAGGGATTCAAAACTACAAATGCCATTAAAAAATTAAACTATAATTATCCCATAGTCAAATTAAATTTTTGCATTATTAATTTCATTTGGTGGTAAAATTAGCTTTATAGCTTGCAATATTATAATTTGTAATAATATTTATCGGAATTTTTACAATTTAACCAACCAGATCGAGGTTAAAACTGTGCATTAATCTTCTATTCCCTAAATAACTTCCGGAAGAAAACAATAAGAAAAAGTAAAATTGGGACTTGAGATTTGAAATTATATTTTCATAGAATGGATTTTTAAATAGGGATAAAAATGTCATAAGACAAAAAGTTGGTAGATGCTAATTAGTGAGTACTAGTGGGAGAGTATTGGCAGTACAGAAAAGTAATTTTTCAGTTTGAATTTTTTATAAAATTCTAGTAAATTAGTTTTTGGTTTAAAATTTATTTTTCGCGATCACTTGCTTGCCAAATTTAGCTCCAACATGACCCTTTATCGCTTCAACCCCATAAACCAAACGAATTCGTCTCGTCAACGCCCGTGCGTCGTGTGCCCTACCACATAAAGCATAGACCATCTGAATTGACCAATCGCTCACGTTATCCCCCGCGGCCTAAAATGGGCCAATATATCAAGACACGGCTCGAGACTCGTAAGAACACCCCCGCCGTCTTGAGGAGCACCTCGTATTTTACCTCAAGGCTTTTATTCGAAATTTTTTTGGGATGGATTTTCGATGCTAGCTAAAAAATGGTGGCTGGCCGATTATTCTCTTTACATGCTGTAAATCCGGGGTTCACCAAGGAGGCGGCGCAGGTAGGAATTAATTCGACCACTTACAATTTTTTGGCGCTAATTTGATTTACAGCATATCTAGGATTTATGAGACTACGAAATCGTGGGCAATATTTCTGTCCTTGGCAGCCTAAAAAAGCGGTTTCAGAATCCGCCGCGTCCCATGCAAAGTTCCGGTCTCTTTAAGTATTTTATGTGTTAATACGATTTATACCTGAAAAAAAGCTCGTGAAAAAGTAGTTTTATGCTTGCAGTAAAGATTGGTTGTTCCGCGCCTAGCTTCGTAAACTAACTTAGGATGCAAAAATCGTTGTTTGAAAACAACTAGGACATTTTCTGTGACATTCCCTTACCAACGCTGCGATACGGCACCCCCCCAACCCGGGGGGGGGAAAAGGGGGGGGGGGGAAGGGGGAACCCCCCCCCCCCCCCCCCCCCCCCCCCCCCCTTCCCCCCCCTTTTTTTTTTTGTTATTTATTAAATAAATTAAATCAAATTTTATTTTTTTTTTTTTTTTTTTTTTTTTTTTTTTTTTTTTTTTTTTTTTTTTTTTATATTTTAATTTTAAAAATAAAATTTTTTTTTAAAATTTTCTAAAAAAAACAAATAAAAAAAAAATTTTTTTTTTAATAAAAAAAAAAAAAAAAAAAAAAAAAAAAAAAAAAAAAAAATTAAAATTTTAAAAAAAATTAAAATTTTTAAAAATTTAAAAAAAAAAAAAAAAAATAATAAATTAATTTTTGGTTTCCCAAATTTAAAAAAAAAAACCAAAATTTTTTTTTTTTTAAAAAAAAAAAAAAAAAAATTTTTTTTAAAAAAAATTAAAAAAAAAAAAACCCATTTTTAGTCCCCTCCCCCCCCCCCCCCCCCTCCCCCCCCCACCCTCCCCCTTTTTCCCCCTTCTCCCCCCTCGCCCAAAAAAAAAAAAAAAAAAAAAAAACTAAATTAACATAAAAATCGCTCAGATCCCTTTAGGAAGCAAAATGCGTTTTTAGTCAAGTCAGACGGCACTTAGAAGCCATTTTCAAAACAACCACCCAAAAGCACAACCCTAGAAGCCGTTCGCCCCGGGGGCCAAGTGCCCCAGATTTATCGCTTTCTAAAGGACGCCCAGTTTAGTCACTTTCGGGCGTCAGCTATCGAATCAGAATACGGCGTCTAGCAACTGGTGTGTCCTCTGCTTTGTCTATCCATTTCCACATCCCACGCATTCCACCCATTCCAACCAACCCAGGGACAAGAAGAGGAGCATAAAAGGAAGAGATCTAGGGCCCAGATCTGGGTGTCCGTCCCCGGGCCAGACAAGCCAGAAAAAACCCTTGAATACCCGGGACGACCAAAAACCTTTTTCGAGGATACCCTCTAGATTCCCTGGCGCATGCCAATATTCAATCCAGCACAGGTTGTTGGACATTGGGTGAGTCATATCGGATTTTCTTGTCCAAAAGTCTTTAATGGGTTTAAAAAGTTAATTTTTTCGGGTTTTTTTTAATTTTGAGTTCCCCCTTTCCTGGCGAAGCTTATCTTCTGAATTTTTGCCATGGATTAATATTAGTACTCGTTTCGACCTTGTTCAGCACCTTACTAGCTCAATATTTTGTCACAAGATACATTATAGAAAATGCACCTAGACTGTTGGGTAAAAACAAAACTCGATTTCCAACTTCATCTCCGATCGTATCATAAATCTCCGATCATAAAATGACATTAAAATATCATCATCAGCGGCCAGGCAAAAGCTTCTAGCACAATGTTTCGAGCTAGTTAGGTTAAAAGGTCTGTTTGAAACTTCGCAATCCGACACGGCCAGCTAGCCTAAATTTTTGAGGAACATCGAGGTAATGTAACGGGCTACCTCACGAACCCGTAGCTCAAAATTTGTAAAATATTGAAAATTGCTCATCTCGTTGAATGGTCCGCCAACAAAATCGCGTTTTTTTGCAAATTTCGTGCTATGCGGTCATGAGGTAGCCCATTCGAAAGAGTACGTTTACTTCCCCCAAAAGTAAATTATTTATTTACATTACAATTTCAAGTTTATAAAAGTAATTCAACGGAATTTTTAGAAGGTTTTAAAGTAGTCCGGGGTATGGGTATGAAAAACACCTGTAGCCTTTTAATCGGAGGTTTTCCTCAACATTGGGTTACAGTTATTATAGAACAGGCAAGCCAATGTCGTCTTAAAATTTTCCTCTTGCTCCTCAAGTCTTTCTCAAACGACCAAAGACCGCCATTTCCTACAAGCTGACTTACTCGGTCCAATTTGTTGCCCCCGGGGGTACATGGATTAGCTTGCCCCCAAAACCCACCCCAGAAACTCGTGGTGCCCCCCGCAACTGGTTCAGCTGTTTCGGGTAATTTCGCCCCTGGGGCCAGGGGATGAAATCGGGAAAGCGCTGAAATTCCGCTCCGCTCATCTGTTTGTGAGGGTGGTCAGATTCATCGCAGTCATTGATTTGGCCAAATTCGCTAGGTACTGCTTGCTAGAAATGTGACCGTATTGGACTTTTTGGCCTTTCAAACTACATACTAAGCTTCCTACGACGCCAATTGACCCCGAAAAATTGTATAAGGTCTCCTAAAAAATTCCAAAATCTTTGAAACATGGAAAATTTCTACCTGAAAGGCGTCCAGGCACGCCGGCGCCAAAAAGCGCGCCTCAATAAGGAGAGCCATTTGCAGGTAGAATTCAGAGGAGTTTAAGACGTTAAACTAAACCTACAAATACAACCACAAAGTTGTCTGTTTTTAGCGCGCCAAACCGTTCACCCTCCACTGCTCACTTCTCCTGCTCGTTCTCTGCTATGCCTTTGCCGGCGGGATGATTTTTAATCGGCTGGAGGCGGATGCGTTAAAGTAAGTTTTATTTACCCTATTAAGTATTTGTATTACATGATCTTTATCTATTTTTGTGTTTTTAAATTTTTCCGGCTACAAATTTGCTCTTTTTCAGAGATCACCAGCTAAATGAGCAGCTCACGAAGGTGGAATGCATAAAAAAGGTAATCTTGTTAATTTTAGGATACTTTCCAGGGTTGCACCATTTTTCAATGCTTGCAAGAGGAAAGAAAAATTACCGAAAATCATGGGAGGTCAATGAAAAAATCATTAGTCATAACAACGACTTTTTAAATTGGTGAAGTGCAAACATCTTTTTCGAACGCCTTGAACTAGTCGGTTTCAACCCGTCAATTGCAGAAGCTTGCCCAAATCGATCCAAAGCTCCCCTACCCGGATCCAAGAGCCATTAATGCGACCGCGCATCGGTTAGCGCCCTGTTTTGCCCCGGAACGGGATGAACGATCCGAGTGGAGCTTCGTCACTGCCACGTTATATGGTTTCGGGATCGTCACTACACTGGGTAAGTTGAGTTACGCGTTTTCTTCTTGGAAAAAATCTCCAAAAATTAGCCAAAACCTATATTTAGTCCGATTAGCATAGTTTTATAAACTTCCAGGCTACAATCGGATAGCGCCGATCACGCAAGCCGGAAGAATGTTTTGTATAGCTTACGGGATTTGTGGGATCCCGATTACGATGATTATTATCGCAAATGTGGGCCAGTATTTGAATCAATTTGCTGGGGATTCGAGGAGGATGGTAAGTGTACCGCTCTGTCTCTCTCTCCCTCTCTATTTCCCTCTCTTTTTCTTTCTCTCTCTCTCTCTCTCTCTCTCGCTCTCTCATGGAACGCGATCAGCTACCAAAATCGAATTTTATAGCTTGAATTTTTAGCTAGAAGAATACCGACAACGCCGAAGGATGTCAAAAGCATCCATGAGTGGCGAAGAATATAAAGAATCATCAATACAAGTAAATCCAATTTTTAAAAATCAATAGGGTATTTAGGTAACCTCCCTCGTCTTACTAGTCGTTTTTCTATTATATGTCGGATTAGGTGCCTTATTGTTACCAGCATTAAATGGGCAGGTAAGCTTTGATATATTTTTATAGCTTGAGTTTATAGAAAAACTCAAATTGGCGTTAAAAAATACAACGATGCTTTTAGATAGACTTTTTCAACGGTCTCTACTACAATTTTCTATGTTTAACGGCTATTGATTTTGGACAGTTGGTCCCGTCAAAGTAAGTCGGCTAAATCCGGTTTTATCTTGATTTTAGAGTAATTTTCCTGCCCATCACTTTTCTATATGTTTGCCTTGGGTTGGCGATTACGACAATTGCCATTGGTAAGCTTAACAGTACCTTAAATGCCATAAAATCCGTAGATATTGGTTCGGAGTATATGAAAAAGCTGCATTACCTCGGGAAGAAGATGAAAGACGCCGCGCAGACAAAGATTTGGTTTGGCGGCAAGGCGTAAGTTTTGAAACAGAAGTGATTTTTTACTGAAATTGCTTAAAACTATAGATTGAATGAAAATAAATACAATTTAGCTAATGAAAAATGTCTTTACCTATACCAAAAAAACAACTAACTAGACAATAATAAATTGAATCCTTTTTTATAGGCTAAAAGTCAAAGATTTGCTACATGCTGTCGGAAAGAAATGCGGGGTTGACCCTTCGCAAATCGATGCTCTGGACTTGGAAAATGTCGTGGAACGGACTATTGCTATCAAGGTATGAAATTGCATTTAATACCTAAAAAAATGCAAAAGAAACGGCGGAATTTGTAGTTGCCTGAATCCGGAAAACAATTCTTGTCTTTTCCCCAAAAAGCAAAAAGATCATGGAGGTATGGGGAATTGAACCCCAGACCTCTCGCATGCTAAGCGAGCGCTCTACCACTGAGCTATACCCCCAGGCGAATGAGGGGGATTGGCAGCGCCTCATAAGGGGTGGATGGCGTACCACTCCTCCCTCAGCGATCAATCAGGCGTCAAGATCGAAATGACACCTCATGCCATAGCCGCTTCACACCTGCCATATGGTTCCCAGCTCAATCCCCTCGATCGCCCGGGGGTGTAGCTCAGTGGTAGAGCGCTCGCTTAGCATGCGAGAGGTCTGGGGTTCAATTCCCCATACCTCCATAACTTTTTGCCTTTGCTCACAAAATTTTGCTAATTTTTGTCTTTATTTGTTACGAATCATGATATTGTTTTACGAGCATTCTTTAGGAAGGAAAACCTCCACCACCCGACATCAACGACAACGATGAGGATGAGCCGCCAATCGAGCCCGAGCCCAGATCGGAGCCTCAGACTCCACAGGAAGAAGCTCCGTTGTTAACGGAGCCCTCGACTCCTAAGAAAACACCAAAGACCTCGATTTCTAGCAAGTAAGACTAGAAATTAAACAATATAAAAATAATGGTATTTATAGAGCTACTTCAATCTACGAGCCAGAGTTGATCATACGAAACCCGGCCTTCCAATCACTTTCGAATGATATGCAAATATGTTCACCGGTGGAAGAGGTAAGAGAGACAGAGAGAAAGAGAGAGAGAGAGAGCGAGAGAGAGAGACAGACAGAGAGAGACTATATATGTTGATTTTCAGACAAAACTCCCTTCATTCCCGCAAGAAATTCAACTCGAAATGCCCGAAGATTTCGAAGACGATTTCGACCTGGAGGAGGACAATCAACATATAATGGTTTGTTGAAGCCTAATTAATGGTTTTTGAAATAAAAACCTTTTTGTTTCTCTAGAGTGGATCGATAAATCGACCAGGAACACTGCTGTTGAGAACCAGAATTTATGATGTGTGAAAGAGGATCTTCGCACTTTTCCGCTTGATTTTTTGATTTGCTGGAATGCAAAAAATAGGTTCTTAAATTTCGTTGGGTGGAATTTTTTGGAATTATTGCTTAGATGATCAGTAAAAGGATATTTCGGATTTTGGTTATTTTTTGGGGTGTAATTCGATACCTAAGTGCGTGAGTAAATGCGTGAGCTTGTTTGAAAAAAGAGTTATTTTGGGATTTTAGGTGTTTGTTTGTAGATACTGGAGCCGCCCGACGTCCTCGACGAGGTTGAGCTTCAACACGTGAGGATCGAAATCCCTGACGAAGCAGACGAGCCGCCGAAGCGACGGAAAAGCAGCGCCCGGCCAAGGTCAAGTATGGACGAGGATTCAGGTATCGATTTTCGAGCTTGAAATGATAAAGTCGGATTTTCAGTCCCGAAGAAGTTCCGGGAGAAGAAGCAGGTGTACGCGACGGACCCGAAGAAGTTGTACGAAACTTATCAAGAAGTAGGTTTCGACGAGACCAGGAGGGTCAGAAGCAGCTGATCTACCAGATACAAAATTGCGACAAAGATGTGACGTTAAATAACGCGAAAAATTGGGGAAAGTAAAAATCCTCACATTTCGAAATTCGCCTTTATTAGTGGACTTTCAACACTTTTTTCGTGCAAAAGTTACATCGTTGCTCTTCGAAAATTTAACTTAATCGTCTTAAGCCAGATCCACTGCCTCATAGGCCCCAAAATTGGCTTAAAAATTCAGAAAAATCAAAGATGTAAAATTTGCAGGAATGGGATCGACTCCAGCGCCTCTCCGCCCGACTCGGTCCCCGCAGAAAGTCAGTTCTAGCCCTGGCCTCCCCCTCAAGACGACAATCTTCTTGTAGTGGTGACGAGGGTGGTGGTCCCTCATCCCGACAGGCATCCCCCCCACAGGGATTCCCGGGATAGCCAGGCATCCTCGCATCACAGTCGAAAATCGTAGCCCTCCATTGGTCCCTCTGACTACGCAAAGGTCCAAAGAACGGTTCAGTTCGCCCGGCGCCTGTCCCTGCGTTTTTTGGGGGTTTTAAGGGGCTGGGAAGCCCGAAATTTTTCTTAGTGTCACTTATTTTTAACGGATATATTTTTCGGTATATTTTAGATGATCATTAAAATAGTTTTTTTAGCTTAAAAAGCCATAAATTTTGTCGATTTTCGGAGTTCAGGAACCCTTTAAAGGGACAAGAAATGCATTCTTAAGTCTTTTTCGCTATGGATTTTTCGCCATTTATTTTTGCGATTTTCGCGATACGCGACGCAACCTAATTCGGAACAATTACGCAACTTCAAACACCAACGCGTTTGCGTATCATGCGTCACACAGCCCTAAAATTCAGTAGTCAAGTAAATCTGAGCCCTGCCTTGTCGGTCCCATTAAAGGGCCTAGAGGTAGGAGTAGTATATATTGCGACAACCGGCGCACCCGGGCCTGGCCCGGGCTACTTGCAGTTACCGGCGCACCTAACCTATCTATAGTGTGTGTGTAGGCGTGAGAGAGAGGGAGAGAGAGAGAGCGAGAGAAAGAGAGAGTGCGAGGGAGAGAGAGAAAGAGAGAGAGCGAGGGAGAGAGAGAGCGAGAGAGAAAGAAGGGGCGAGAGAGCGAGGGAGAGAGAGAGAGCGAGGGAGAAAGAAAGAGAGAAAGAGAGAGAGATAGAGAGAAAGAGAGAGAGAAAGAGATAGAGATAGAGAGAAAGATAGAGAGAGAGAGAGGGTGTGTGCGAGAGTACCGTGTTGCGCAACTTGTTGCCAGTTGTCTTGGCTTGTCAAGCTCCAAAAAAAAACGAGATCAATAGAAAATACCGGAAAATGGGATTTTTGCATTTTTTTACAGTCGAAATGAGGCCCGGGCCCCCGGAACGGACTCCGGGCCTCAAGGAGACTCCGATATTATCATTAAATTGTATTTTCCCAACTTTAAAGCGGCCTTAGTGACAGCCTCAACATGCTAAAGACCCCGCACCATAGCGAAGCCTCAACATGCTAAGGACCCCGCAGCATAGCGAACCCTCAACATGCTAAAGACCCCCACACTGACACTTCCGCTCATCATCAGAATACCGGGTGCATCAGATTACCGGCTCGCCTAGACGGACAATACCCACCTTTAGTGTGTGTGTGAGAGAAGTGAGTGAGAGATGGGGAAAGTCGATGAGACAAAGAGAAAAAACGAGAAAAAGAAAGAAAGAGAGCGAGAGAGAGAGAGAGAGAGAGAGGGAGAGAGGGAGAGAGAACGAAAGAGAAGGAAAGAGAGAAGGAGAGAGGGGATGAAGAGAGAGAGAGAGAGAGAGAGAGAGAGAGAGAGAGAGAGAGAGAGCGAAAAAGAGAAAGAGAGAGCGAAAGTAAGAGAGAGAGAGCGAAAGAGAAAGAGAGAGCGAAAGTAAGAGAGAGAGAACGAAAAAGAAGGAAAGAGAGAAGGAGAGAGAGGGGATGAAGAGAGAAAGAGAGGCAGAGAAAGCTTAACTGTCGCCATGATCATCGGATTACCGCATCGTCCGGTCACTTCAGGTCAACATAACTTTTCTGGGTTACGCAACAGCTGTTTGAGGGGACTCCCTTAGAGGGAGATTAAGGTCACGTGGGGTGGATGCCCGGAGGGCCCGGGCTGTCCATCCCTGTTTGCTAATTGCGCAACACTGTCGGGACGGCCTTTGTTATGAATGGATATAGTGTAATGGATATTGACCTAGAACTGGGCCTGCGGAGCCCGGCCAGAGATGCCAAAAAAGGGACCAACCAAAAAATATGCCAAACTGAAATACAAAACCTGTTTTTTACAGATATATTTTACAAAGGCATGTTACAAATAGATTTTACAAAGTCTGTTTCTTTTCATGAATTGTCATGCTATATCTTTCATTAAAGGGATAGGGGCGGCATCTTTTGATCCCCCTCTGGGAGGGTTCAATAGATGGGGCGGTGAGAGAGGGCGCCCAGGAAAGAGGCACTGAGACACCCCTTTCCCTGCGTAACCGATTGACCTTTCGCTGTCCTTATCTCTTTAAGACAAGCAAGTGCCAAACGTCTTCCGTTGATGATACAGGGTACTCAATTCGAACAATTGGTGACGATTCACACGCACTGTGAGTAATAAGCAGCAGCGTGTCATAGCAGAAAACTCACAACACTCTCGTCTAGGAGAAGTCGTTTTTTCAGGCATGTCTTTGTTGGTACTTTCATGTCTCACGACGAGATGTCTGTCCGAACAGTCCCGTTTTGCTTCGATAGCACATGTGAACCAGATATCCGTGATATGTGGCAATGCGGAGATGAGAGATTTCATCCAAAAATTTCCAAAGTTTCTGATGAGACTTCATCTGATTTTGAACAGCACAGTTCAGCTTCTGATACCTGGCTTGAGGATATACAATCAGGCTGTTATCGGTTGAAAGAGACAACATTGGGAGAAGTGTAGGTGTGAGACTCTTCCCTCTCCCTGTATCCCCCCCCCACTCTCTCTCCCCTCCCTGTCTCTCTTCTTCACTCTTTTCAATTGCACAGGAAGATGTGTTTTGTGATTTAAGTGACTCTCAGTTCAAATACTAAACTTGTTTATTCAGACATTTACTTAACAGGATATATAGAAAAAATGAGGGTTTCCATTAGTGCGTAGGCTGCTGGGTAGTTGAGCCGTTTCCTGGGAATCGTTGAGCAATGTTGACGACTTGGCAAGCTTCGCAGATCATCACCTTGAAGATGCAATTCGTCTCTTTGCCAAGGCTGGTGGTAGTGCGAAGACAAGACTTGCAGAGGGGGATCTTCAGCATGGGATTCTGATGATCGCGGGGTCCAATGGAGCAGACAAACTGCTTCTGGGTCATCGGGCGTACGGTACCGTCGGTCGGAGTGAGGAAAGGAGTAATTGAAGACATCGTCGTTTGTTGTATAGCTTTGGTTGAATGACAAAATGAGGAAAACCCTGGCTTATATAGCCTCAAAAAATTCGAGCTTCATTGGGCTCTCTCAATTTGACGCACTATTTTCTAATAATAAACCACGCCCACGCGTCGCTTGAGCAGTATAATATGGAGCATTTTGCGTCGGTTTTCATATATCAACATGAGCTACTACAACGACTACGACTACGCCTACTTTTCCCATTTGATATGGGCCTGGAACAATTTTGTTTCCAATCAAGCAGCAGGTAAATTTCCTCTAACACAGATATCTAATCATAAATTTTTAGCTGCTGCACTAATGAATCCTGGAGGAGCACCCAATGGTATACAGGTGAGCAGATGTAAATGACCCTAATAGCACGTTCTTAGGTGCCGGGTGTACCACTTCCACCTCTTCCGCCTCCTCCGCCTCCGCCTCCGCCTCCGCCTCCGCCTCCGCCTCCGCCTCCGCCTCCGCCTCCGCCAACTCCGCCGCCTTCTGATCACCATGAAAAGACGAAACTCAAGGTAGTCCCACTTGAAACCAATGACTTAACTGTGATTTTTAGCGAAAAGCAAGAAGGACTGATGGAATCACCAACAAATGCTCCAGGGACGGAGAATCAGGGACTGTAATGGTATGTGGGATTTGCCGGAACAACCAATCACCGTGGTGGGCCGAATTTCAAAGACTAATGTCAGATGATGAAGACCCAGTTTTTGAGACATTCCGGCGGATTTGCGCTCAGTCAGATTCATTGGAATGGTAGTTTCCGTGTTATTTTGCATCCTTTCTTATTAACTACCCTTCAGGTTCCCATATAAAAAATGACCTTTTCCTTTTCATTGTAATATACTGTGCATCAAATAAACTTATTGTTAATTTACAAAGATTTATTTACATTACACTGATAGAGAGCAATACAGAGAGATAGATTTACGCATTAAAGAGATAGAGAGAGAGACATAGAGTGTGTGTTAGTGATAGAGAGCGATACAGAGAGATAGATTTACACATTAAAGAGAAAGAAAGGGAGACATAGAGAGAGAGATAGGGAGCGATACAGAGAAATAGATTAAAGAGAAAGAAGCAGGGGATTCAGCGAGCTGTTTGTGTGGCGTTCGTCTTCAGCTTTCGGGATGGGAATACGACGGTAGCAGCCGGCTTGTTGCGTACCAGGAAAAGATTGCAATCAGCGTCATGCAGAACAGTGAGTTGAAACCACGGGCGAAGATTTGCCTAAATGCCTTGAATTAACGAATGTTTTGCGATAGCAGTTTACCTTTGGTTTCGGCTCTTCAGGAGTGCCCCGAGCAGATGTGTCCAAGAAGTCGAGGACCTTTGCAGTGTCGAGTGGCGTACCGTCAGTAGGCTGGTTGAATTTGCCCCAGAAGTGCAATTTGGGAGGCTTCGTGTTAGGAATGATATGCATAAGTGGATTTTTCAGGGTAATCTTTGGGCGTCCACGTCCACGTTTCGGAGCCGCAGGGTCCTTGACTGGATACGGATGCTTGCGAGGGCGTCCACGTCCACGTTTCAAAGGCTCGCCAGGAGTGGCTCCGGTTTCTTCAAGAACGGGGGGCTTCTGAGCTTCAGACTTGGCCTTGGATTCCGCGTCCATAGCCGAGAGCAGTAGCCATGACAGCGGAATCATTTCTTCGGGTTTCCACCAGGAAAATAGTCCATCAGCGCCCGGATTTGCAGTGTAAACTCGTCCTTGCGAAATTAGTTCGGGCAGGTTCTTGGGGTCAATACTTCGTGCGCTTAGATGTCCTGCATCGTATTTTGGCATGTAAAATCCATCCAAGACGTTGTCGTTCAAAACAGCGGGCAAATCTTTGACCAGATCGAAATGGGTATTCGCAGGCAGAGATGCGGCAGGGGGTACTGTAGCCGGGGTAGCAGAGGGTACGGTAGAAGGCTGGGAATTCATCGTTGAGCGTAAATTGTCGAGTTTGTTAGAATGAGCTCCAGGTCAGTACAGATCCAATTTATAGCCAAATTCTCGGGCTAGATACCAGACGATATATCGATCATCTTCCTCTATGTTCTCTAACTGTGTGAGCAAATCTGAAAATGGAATTCCGCGACTGATCTCCATAACAAACCAAACTGTAAATCCCCCACATGTGCGTGTAAAAATCGATTGGTGTGGATACGGATTATAAAACAACTGTTTTGCAAATTTGTTTATCCACACGGAAATAGGGCCTTCAGCGGGCGGCGGAGCACCGCTACTGTCGAAATACCAAATACGCCGAGCTCTGTCTCCTAGCATAGCAACCCAGTGAGTGCCACCGGAAGGATCAGCAGCTCGACTCAAATTTGCAACAAGGGTAAAGGGAAAATGAGGAGGAGGAGTGGGAAGCCGGTCAGCCGCAAAAGTACCTAGGAAATAGCGGCGAGACACAGGATGAGAAAACAACAAGCGGTCAATTTGGGAATTGTCCATCAAATCGGGAGAACTGAAATCTGGCGTTGAGCGTCAATAGTGAGGAGTCCGTTGAATTCTCCGGCGACGACTACTTGTACGGCTTCCGTAAGCGCACGATGGAATTCAAGGCGGAGCCCGCATGATCCGCGGAGAGCAAGCTGGAACTCGGATTCGGTACTGTCGAGACTCGAAGGCAGCAAATCGATGCAGTAGACGGCGCGGCTGTTGCTGTACATTTCCGGCGAGATACCATTAGTGCGTCCACTGGCATGGAATCCGAGGCTCTCGTTCATCTGATGATAAGCTTGAAGGAATTGCCCCGAGGTATGGTCGAGATTGTATGGTCGCATGGGCACGGTAATCCCGCAAAAGTCCACGTAGATGTTTCTCAAGCCAAAGTGGTGGAAGCGGAACGGATCTTTTCCGTAGTCTCCGGTCAACGCAGAGGCATTAACGATACCCACAAAAATGCGTCTAGGAACCTGATTTCCCGAAAAACACACGTATTCCTGGGTTAGCTGGGTCCCTGTGTTGACAAAGAAGCTTTTCGTGACCATCTGCCTGTATGGATAGGTAGCCAGCTTCCCGCTAGCAAGCATACGATTTATGGCAGAAATGGTCTGATCAAAGCAGACGGCTTCTGCTAATCGCAGCTGCATGGATTTAATTTCCAGCCTCCACCTCTCACCGGGCTCGTCAAAGTCGACAAAGATAAAGTTGTCCGGCGACTTGAAAAGTTGAAGCGAAATGTCCATCCCGTTGAGAAGCAGTCGATTGGAGGCTTCAAGGCCCAGATCAAGCCCTGTGATCAGCTGCAGAGTTTTCCCGTCCTTAACCCATTCGACTCGCTCCAGGTACCCCGGATTTGTTTTTGATTCGGTACCGTTGTCTTTGGCACTGTATCCGGCAGCTTTTCCGAGAACAAATTCCTTCGAGTCTTTCTCACGGCAGAATTCGTTGATGAAGAATTGACGGTAGGGATTCAGGTTACCAGTCTCGACGACAGGGATACCGTTCAGGCTCAGCACAATGTTACGGAAGAGGGCCTTGGCAAGCCAGTTGACTGGCGCAGCGCGCCGTGGCTGTGCTTGTACAACTCCGTTGACCGGTTCTGCTACCTCGATCCCGACGCCGTTGTCTAAATCCGTTACCCGGGCTTCAATCTGAATTGTTGTCCGGGCAAGGCTGATGGGGTGATGTTGTTTGACGATCGAGAACGACCAGGGACCTTCCTGAGTGAGTGCAGAGTCGAGATTGACAATTCGTGTTCTGATTTGATGGATTCCGATAGAAGTTGGGGGAGTCGAGAAAAGGTTAAGTTCGGAGCTATAGGCAAACTCCGAGTCTTCAGATAGTGATTGCATGGTTTAGTGCTTTAGAAATTGGCGGCGACGTGTCGTGCGGCGTCTCTTTTGAGGAATGACGACAGCGACGGGGCGAATCCTTTTACGTGCTTGGCCCCCGCCCATTTTCTTCTTCGCAGCTGCTGCTCCTCGATCGATAAGGCGTACCGCGGACTCCTTGCCATGCTTCTTCAGCGACTCCTTGACGTCGACACCGGCCGAGATGTCAGAGAGCGTTTTCCCGGCAGCTGTGATCAGCTCCTTGCCGACTGCTTTTCCACTCCTCTTTAGAATTGGTAATAGAAAACGAGCGATAGAGCCCCAGACTGAGCTTCCCCTTTGGTAAGGGGTGCCCATGAACATTGGGAAATGGGCGAGTGAAGATCCCCCGACTTGTTGCTGTTGCTGCTCGAACACGGGCAGCCAGTCCAGGGCGTCAGGGTCGAAGGGAAGATAGTAGCGAACGTGCGTCATGCTTAGTAGATACGACGGAAATGAAGACAGACAATGGTGTTACCGTAGTTTATACGAAGGGGCCGCCCCTGTCCATCGACCAGCTTGACGGTGATGGTCTGGATGTCGTTTGAATGGACACGGCGATACTGGACAGTGTTGAATTCACGAGAAAAGGCATGCCCAAAGGGAGTATCTCCTACCGCAATGGTACGCAGAAGGGGGACCAGTCTGCCTCCGACGATAGACGGCTCTACGACATCAGAATAGCAATAGACGAGGCCATTGCCGAAATCGGGGAGATACTTTGCGATGCCTCCTTCGAGGAATTGAGCAGGATCGAATCCACAAGTGTAGGCTAGTTTTTGGGAAAATTCGATGCTATGTACAATGTTACGGTTTAGATCTAAGATGAGACGTCCGGACACAGGATCATGTCGGAAATAGACGCCAGTTTGTTCTAGAGCAGACTTCTGATCAGCCGTCCTTTGACGCGTTTTCTCGGATTGTTCGGGGGCAGGAAAGGAATACGTACCTGCACGGAGCGCTTGTGCTTCCGGGAGCACGTACGTCTGCGCTTCCGCATTGTTGATCGGCGCGTCATCTTTGTGTTGCAAGTTGTAGAATGAAGTCTTTCGGTCTTCTGTCGACGGTGCGACAAATTCGGGAGGAGGCGGTACGTACAGCTCCAACTTGGGCTTTGAGTCTTCGGGATCGGCAGGTTTAGAGACTTCGGGCTCCCCTGACACCTCGGGCTCAGCAGGCTTTGACACGGTGCCTTTAGGAGCTCCAGAATAGGGAGCTATAGGCTCGGGAGGCAAGGGAACTGCACCTTTGGGGATTTTAGGTTGAGGAGCTTCTTCAGGCTTTTTCACATCAGGCACCGGCTTCATGTCTTTCTCAAGCTTGAACGTGCCTTGATTTGGGTCATACTCCACGTCTCCAAGGGCGCGACGCTTCCTGGATGAACGGTCAAGCGCGGCATTCAAGGCATCTACCAGCATTGTCGGATCTTTGTAGTTCCCACGACGCAGTGTAACCGTGTAATTGTCGCGAGACTTGATCATGTTCACCTTGATGATCTCATCTTCAGGTATCGTATCCCACGAATAACAACTCTGAAGCTCGGCAAGGCCCACTTCCCACCGGTTAAGCCGCCCGTCCAGATCGTAAAGTCTCAAGTGGTTTGGCATGCGATTCACAAAAACAGAAGACGTATTCTCCGGAGAGTCTGAGGCATTACTAGCTAATACAACGTAGAAAGAGTCGTCGTGCATCTAGACAGTTTGTAGTAAATGAGCTTCGGGTTTGCGTACCGGGTAGATGGGCGACGGTGCCACGAGACACAGTGCACCGCCCACGATTGTCAAAGTCCGCTCACTAATAGAATGGTCTCTCGATACGTCGTGCACGATACTGAAAATTGAAAGAGTCAAAAGCACAGCCAGAATAGCCAGGGACGTGAAAACGCGTACTTCTCGCATACGGTACGGGCCTGTACATCGGAACGACTGTGTGCTATCCGCAGATGTAGTGCTCTCTGTATACTGTCGTGTCATTGGTCAAAGAATGGAAAGAATGAAAATCCGTTTATTCAGAAGGGTGTGTTCTCAGGTCGATAACGTCTTCAGCTCGCACCCAAGAGTTGAACTCGTCGTCGTAGTCGAGCCATTTGACCAGGTATTCCAGCTTCCCCTTTCGCCGTCTTTCGTCAATAATCCGCTCAACCTTGTACACGCCATCAGAATTCTCGGCTCGCTGCAGCTCGGCGTCGTAGAATCTTCCTTCAATCTTCTTGCCGTTCAAGTCGGAGACACGATAAGTGACCGGGACACGCATATCAATCTGTCGCACGACAAACAGTTCAGAGCCCCACAAGCCGCGGAACCCCTTCTGAAACGTCTCACGACGATTAGAAAGTACCACAGTGTCACCAATCTGGAACTTTGAGCTGTCGGCAATCTGTGGCTGTTGGTTTGGGATTTTTGTGTCGAAATTCACGTCAACCGGACGCATCCCAGTCACGGTGCTGCGAGTTTTATTCAGCGATTCGGCAATTTGTTGCACGACATCCACCCAACGTCGGGTATTGTTATGCGTAAAGTAACGGTAAATCTTGTACTTGATCGTCTTCAGATGAGCTTCGGCTACTTGGGCCTTCTGGTCGCTGCCGCGTAGAGTGAAATGGTTAATTTTCAGGTCTGCGTAGAGTTGTAGCATGGCACCGGTGGTGAACTCCTTGCCCTTGTCGGTGAGCAGATTAAACGGAATCCATTTTGTGAACATTTTACGCATAGCTTCGGCAACAGATGCAGGTCGTTTATCAGGCAATGCTGCGACCATGATGAATTTGGAGTAGACGTCGACAACTAGAAGCAGCCACTTCATGCCGTCGTTCCAAGTCGACAGCGAGCTGAGATCTCCCAAGTCGGCCTGCAGATGAGTCCAGCACTGAGTACTGGTCATCCTCAAGCGGGGGTAGCGTACGCGAGCAGGTGCGTGAACGTAATGGCTTGGTGTGCCTCGGAGAAATTCTTCAATTTGCTCCTTAGAATACCCGTGCTCCTTGCCGACGCGGCGAAGCACAGTTGCGGAAGTGAAGGCAGACGGATTTTCAAGAGAAGTCCAAAGATCTTTGAGAGATGGGGCCATAGTTTAGTGCCTTGTAGAGTAGTTTCGAGGTGTGAATAGGTTGTCTGACTTTTTCTCCTTCTTACCAGGCGTCTTCTGATAGCGGGGCGTACGCGAAGTGTCCACGACCTCCTCTTCAAAGTCGTCGTTGCCGGGTGTGTGGTAGTAGGCGCTGAATGGGGAAGACGGGCTAGCGCGCTCGAGTGCGTCAAACACGTGATCGAGATGTACAGGTGTGCCTCTCCGTCTATTCACGGGAGAGTTCAGATGAGTGACGATCCTGTCAATTTCACCGTCCATCACCAGTTTTCCGTCAATCAGACGTCCTTTTACTGACTCTACGCGTGGGAAGCTCTTGTTCAGCTCTGCAATAAATTCCTTCCCAAAGTTTTTGCCACTGCGCAGCAAACGTGGCGAAGGCGTGACGATGGGGAGCTTGGTTTTTGCCTTCAGCCTAGCCTTCTTCTTCGGTGGAGGCCCCACCTCAGGCTCGGGCTCTGGCTCCCGCTCCGGCTCTGGATACGTCAGATCAGTGGGCATCGGGTATCGATCGGGAGATGGCTCTCGTTTAGTTTGAGGGTGACGCTTGCGCAACTCGGCGAGCAGGTCAGTGAACACGGCAAGGAGCTGATTGTAGAGGGGTGTCTTGACGTTGTCGGGGATACGTTTGTCGTTTAGAGTACGCTGCATTTGCTGGTCGAGCACCTGCAGCCGTTGCTTATCGACATCATCTTGAGTAAAACGAGTGAAAGGAGCACCGTCGCCTTTAATAATTGGAGGGGTAGTAGTAGAAGTAGATGAGGTAGGCCCAGGGGTAAAGGGAACTAGTCGCATTTTACGAAACATTGAAGATGAATCTTGCAGCCAGATCGATGAGTGCAGGTAGAATGAATGGCAGAATGCCGTCGCCTGTTTGTATAAGTCCGTGACGCGCCGCCTCCACCTGACGCTGTCGTGCCAATGCGTCAATCGTGCCAAGATGTCGTTTCAGCTTGCGGACTTCATACTTGTGCAAAGGTACGTTTCCATTGTTAACGTTGTGCATCGACTCGATGAGACAGCCCAGTTGACTACAAGAAGCCTTCTTCAGAATCCGCTTCGTGTCTTTCGACTTTTGAAGACGTTTGAGAAAGTCAATGTTAGCAGTTAGCCTGCGATCGGCAGCTGTGAGTTTAGTCATGTCCAGAAATGAATGAGCATGAGAGTTAGCGAGGCATATACACAATCTCCCCGCCCACGTCATCTGGGAAGATGTGGGTCACGAGCCTCTGCCGGGGATCCGCAAGCACGTGGTTGTTGATGAGCAGGTATCCGTAGGGATCTGAAGCACAGACGTCCTCGTAAGCATCGACGAGAAAGCGACTTCCGGGAAAGATTTGAGAGTTGAGGACTCGAACCTGGTTCCGATCTGCGTTATTCTTTGTCAAGATGAGGTACGAAGCGTTAACCCGGCTTGTCCGGTCTCCGCAAAACGCATTCTGTGAAATCACGACGAGTGAATGATTCCGGTGGTGTACACCTTTAGTGAAGAGGTCAACTACAGTCTTGTTGCGCTTCAACTCGGTGCACTGATCGTCAATTACGATAAAGTGTGGCGTCTGGAGCGTCTCAATGTCAGCGTCTGTAGGCAGTCCTTGGTACAGGCGTACACGAGAGTCCATTGCCACCAAGTCGTGGTAGAGCGGCTGATCGATACTGTAGCACATTAGAATTCCCTTGCATACGTCGGCAGGTTCGGTAAGTTCATCTAGCCACTGCACCATGCGCTTAAGCAAAAAGCTCTTCCCCGAATTTGAAGGTCCCATGATAAAACAGCTGAAAGGCCATCGGAAGCGAAACTTTTCGATAGAATCATCGTTTATTCCAGGCATAATTAATCGATACAGATTTCAATAGTGTCTTGAGGGTAACTGATTCCTCCAGCTCGAATGACGGGCTCGTACGCGCAGGTCGTGTTGTAGTCGTGGTACAGCTGGTAGTAGACGTCTAGGGGCACGCCCATCGATCCGGGCATCGGCATGGTACGCTTCGGGCCCTGCAAGAAGGTGCTCGAAGTATGCGCAACCACGTCGACGGGGCACGTATCCCAGAGAATGCGCGGACTCACGACATTTGTATGCGTCAGCTTGCATCTCATCGTAGCGTTCATCAGCAGCGTAACAATCTCAACACGTTCACGAGGAGTCAGAGGTCGATAGTAGTTCTCGTTACGGCGGTAACGGCAATTCAAGAAGACGTTAAATGGTAGCCAGTGTTTCTTAGTATCAGTGGAAGTCATGGTAATGTATGATTCTGACTGCCTCTCGTGCCCTTTTATACCTTAGCGGAACCGAGTCTTGTAACAATACAGTTTATCGGCAACAAATTAGACAGTCGTTTTTCCTTCCTTTTTTACTTTTAGCGTAGCACAAGGGCGATTATTGTGATGATGATGATAAGGGTCGTCATGTCTAGCGGAGTCGCAACACAATTCTCCGCCACGGCCACGAGCCTCGATTCGATATTTGAGCAGAACACCGGCAAACTGAATCTAGAAGACCAGAGCATGATTGACAATTGACCAACTAACCCGGCAAAGCCGTAACAGCGGCCATCGGAGGGACATGGAATCGGGCAGGTGGTGTAGCGCACAATCTCCAGGTTGTGGACAATCAGATTGTCGAGATCTTCATGCACTTGAATGTAAGCGGCCATCTCGTTTTTTCGGCGAGATTGCGACTGAGCGGGGACTGTGTCGAATGGCGCGCGCGGGCCACATGTGGCTGTTTGCATTAGTCATACTGCTCGGGAGGCACGTAAAGTCAATTAATAGGAAAATTTATTGCCCACACTCCGCCAAATAAACATGCACATCCACGAAAATAATATCGAAAACAGACATAAAAAAATGATATAGAAAAGATGCAAATCACAATAAAAATCTAACGGAAAATACGGCCATACTGAAAATACTGCCCTTCAGCATTAGGAAAGCCTTTTTTATAAACAACACGGTATTTCTTACGTTCTTCAACAGTTTCTAGCACACCGGGCTTTGGTCTGCGAATATTCTTATAATTAAATTCAATCGAAGGTTCTGGTTCATCTGCAGCGGCCCGTTCGGCTTCGTCACTTCGATAGCGTTCAACAAATTGAGTTGCCATACACTTCATGCGGTTGAATGTCAGCTTCCCCTTATTATCGAGATCTTGCGTGATGCCTAAAAGAACGTGTCTCTGGCTTTTTTCTTGGGTATGCTTACCTCGAGTTTTAATGATCTCTTGGTACACTTCCTCGCCGTCCTTCTTCAACAGAGCCGCATACTGCTTCGAGCCTAGAATTTTCTGGCTTGATTTTCTCTCTCTCCAACCTACCAGGACAGACGAAGCTCACACATGTCCATCCGGTGGGGATTTCCGAAGTCAGCTGACCGAGTTGGGGGCCCACTTCTCGAGCATAGAACCGCCTGACAAGTTCGTCATCTTCCACAGAGCCACCCTCAAAGACAATCGAGTCCGTATCCGTGTACACCTGAAATAAACCTTTTCAAAAAATGACAACAGAGAAACCCACATGTCGAGGATAGACCTGGAGCAGCAGCTGATTTAGGCGTAGTCGTGCACGGCTCGTAGTTATGGCAGCCACAGCAATTGAACCCTTTGAGCGGGCCACAGTGTCGTCTCGATGTCCCTGAAAAACGACTCAAAGCGAGATACTCAATGCTTACCTTATGCTTGACTATCCAGACATTATGCTCGGGTATCAGGTACTCATCAGTAATCACTCGGCTTGGATCGCACCAAATCTTCTCAACTTCATCAGCCGTGTAGCAAATGTCCGTCTTCGTGTTGGTGGGCTTCTGGCCGAATTTGCCCCCTAAAAATCAGCGTAACAGAAAAAAAGAAGTGAGAAACTTACAGAGATTGTTATTGGCCAACTTAGCCAGCCAGCGTGCAGATGGGTTGGGACGGTCAAGTTCTTCAGGCCTTAGAGGGACACCCATTTGGTCTTCAAAGTTCTTGAGGAAGATCGCCCTTTCTTCTGGAGTTTGAGCATCGTCTGGCCATCCACTTGCTTCAACTTTTCGACGAATGTTGTCACTAAATAGATGGGATAAGCGTTTCGAAAGGCTCTTACCTGACGTACTCCTTGAAGAAGTCGGCGGTGAAGGATTTCCAGCTCATCGTTTCGTGGACGCATCGAATCTCACACTTCCAATCGAGAGCCAGCTGGAGCTCCTCGTACCAGTAGACGTCACGCAGCAACCTTTCGCTGTCCGTATGGGTGCAGACTCGAGGAGGCTTCTTCATTTGGGCGCATCGTCCACAGACCGGGAATTGGAGACCTCCCTTGACTGTCAGAGGGAGAAGCGTGATCGGGATGTCGCGCGGAACCAGGACATCGACGTACAGGAAACCCCGAACTTGGATCTCTTGCACACAGCGGCGTTCCCTCTTCAACAGGCCTTCTTCGTACACATCGACGGCCCGCCATGTTTTCTAAATAATTCGTTGAGCTTTTTTTTCTTAGACTTGTTTTTTACTTACTTTAACAATATGAGAAGGAAGGCGATTGGGTTTGCCCTGGAACATTTCAATAACTGCTTCGCCAAGTGGGTACAGCCCATCGCGCTGCACATGAGGGTACATTCTGAAATTTAGGATAAAGATATTCAGCATGAGACTTACGAATTAACATCCTGGTAATGCACTTGATTGCCAGGAGTCGACCATGCCTTGAAGGCTTCAGTTCGGCCTCCCTTTAGGGCACGTCGCGGGCAGAGTCTCCCCGGAATGTCGAGGTTTTCGCAGTACTCGCGCATCTCACCGTCTTCTTGCAGCTCTCTGTAAAAGTCGCATTCACGCTTCACGACGATTTCGTCCAGTAGCTCTGAAAATTCACTTTTGGATGTTGGGTTTCGTGTGGAATACCTGAATTGTTGAGAGCTTCGTATCGCTGGACGGTCCGGTCGAACCGCTCCCGAATTGTATCCGCTTGTCCCTTGCCGGCAGGGAAGTTGGCGTTCGGGCCATAGCAAGAGAGACAGCCTAAAACTTGAAATATTTAAAAAAACGTTCTATGTACATACCGTGCCAATAACACCCGTTGAACTCGAAGCCGACACGCTTCCCGTCTGGCATCACCGAGTAGCCATCAAGGAAATATTCTGCTGCTCCGCATACAATGCGCTTCTCGCCGCCATACGCGAGCTGCCGTTGAATCGGGTGTCCATTTTGCTGATATTCCATCCACTGCAGCCATTTCTCGGCAACCTGAAACTTGTGTGTTTGTTGACTTTTGCTTTGAATTTACCTCAGAGTACTTGCGCTCAGCTCCTTCAGGGGTTTCTTTAACCATTGCGATCGGCTGCCCCTTGTAGTACTTCATCAGGAAGAGCGTCATGCAGGTAGACGCCAGCGTTGAGCACGAGGAGAACGGGCAGAATCCGCCTCGTTCCACGTGGTTCTTCCTGAAGAGCATCACACCCATCAGCAGCACATTCACATCTGACTCGCAGTACTTCCAGATTTCTTCTTCAAGGTTGAAAGTTTGTCCGGCTTTCTCCACAAGCGTTTCTCGTACCTAAACCATGAGCTCATTTGTATTTCTTGGGGGGTGAACTGACCTTCTTCAGCTGCCCTTCTGTGCGAACCGGGAACCATTCTTCGGACGGCCAGCCTCGAGGGTTTGGTTGACGCCAGTATTCGCAGTTTGCAAACACTGGAAAGACACCCTTCTCTTCGTTGAGCCGGAACACGTCGGCGAACTTGCCCAGGGCGATCGGAATGAACCGATACGTGTCCATGAAGCGGAGCTGAAAATTGAGGGATGGTGTACGTGAAACCAAAAAACTTACCTTATTTCGGCGACGCTCATGTGGGGCCGGAGGTCGGCGTTGAACTGCTCGCGCTCGGTTCTGCTTGCAGTCGCTTGGGCGGCCTGCGATCTTCATTTCCACGATACGGGACCCTCGCATTAGCGGTGTGTAGGGGATTTTTCGAGCCATCAGAGCCGGGAGTAGGAGCACCCAATCGTACCCTCCTGAAAAAAAATACATTGCAAAATCAAGGGTACTCAAAATTACCTCCGTTATGGGCGAGGACGATCTTCTCCTGCTTCTTGTCGTGCTTTTCGAAAAGCAAAAAGTCGACGACATCCTCAACGACCTTGCCCTCATGCCAGACGCCGTGTTCGTCGAGATTCGAGAACCTGAAAGTGTGAGAAACTGAAAAATTGCTGCAAAAATACCTTTTTTCGAAGCACTGTCCTCGACACTGCCCTTGGGGCCTGCGCATTATCCAGCGGTCCCGCAGCTTCTTTGGGCGGTGCTCTTCATCGGCAGAGTTTTCATCTTCGTCGGATTCTTCGTCAAGTTCGTGGTCGTATCGCTCGAGGCGCCCTCCTTTGATTTTCTCGCCGGCCCAGAGTCTGAAAGATGGAGAGTGGCAGTTTTGCAAAGTACACTTACTCATCAGGAGTGCATTCCTCGCACATTTGTCGCATGTAGCAGTGCGTTGCCTTGTGTGGGATGTCGATCATCTCGCCGTTGACGTATTTGACGACCTCTGTTTCAAAGTCGAGGACGATTATGCTGAAAATTGTGCTGTATTTTCTGAAAATGCTGAACTTACGTGTAACGCTGAGACTTGTAACGGGTTGCAGGCTTGTCATGTGCCTGAGCAAAGATGCAGTCGTGCTTGATGGGCTGCATTTTCATACATGTCTGGCAGAAGCGCCTAAAAAAACATCGTTAGAGTACTGTTTATATTTCACTTACTGTCCACACACATGTGCCTTCATACCACCACTGGTGACATCGTAGTAGTAGTTGCACTTCAAGCAGAAGAAGCGCTTTCCACACACACGATTCCTGAAGTGATTGTCATAGCACGTATGGTTCTGGAAGCAGACATTGCACGTCGTGCATCTTATCCGGACGCCGGGATCGTTCTCACATGTCTTGCCTGTTGTCTGGCATCTCAGGCATCGCCATTCACATCTAAATTTTGGGATTAAACCGAAAGAAACGCCTTACTTTTTGTGGCAGTTCTCGTTGTAGTAGACTCCGCAGCCATCGCACTGCTTTTTGTACGCAAAGACCTCGTCGATGTCGTAGGGAGATTGACGAATCCACGTAACGGCCGAAGGTGCCTTAGTGACAGGGATGAAGTGCTCGTTCCTTTCTTCGTACACCATCGTCAGCACACGGCCATCGACATTGTTGTAGTCGGGCGTACATCCAAGCTTTTTGCCCCTAAAGTTGTGATATTTTTTCATATGATGTAAACTTACGCCTTGTCGAACATGTAGATCCTCCCAAGCTTCCGTCGGTTGACCTCCTTGAGGACTTGGGCGGCTTCAGGCAGGGATACCATCTGTCCGGCTATGTATCCGGGCCATAGGCTTCTCAAAAAGTCTTGAGCTTTCACGATTGTGTCCGGGTCTTGGTGGAAAGCCCCGTCAAACTCTTGGGTAAGGCTTTGCCTGAGCTGAGTCCATTCCCGCTGCTTTGCCCTGAAAAAAATCACAGTCTTGGCAGTTTAATGTGCCCATACCTGCCCCTGACTTTCAGGTTTCTTCTTTCGATAGTGCTGTCGAGGTCCATCAGTTTGGCCAACTCCACGAGAAGGTAGACGCTCATGGGGAAGCACGCATTCTCAAGGTCTGCGGGGTCGAAAACAACGAGTTTTCCTCTCCATCCATTGAAGCCCGCTCCTCCTTTTCGCACTTCATAGCCGTCCAGCTGAAATTTGAGGGTGGTCCTGCATGAATTCAAAAACTTACCTGAAGCGTGAATCGTGTCATGTTCTTGATCCGGTGTGAGCTGTGTACCTTGCCCTGAAGGACATCTGCAAGCGCTACCGCTGTGATCTGGGGCCTGAGTCGTGGTGGAAGATAGGCAACCCATCGGTCTTCATTGCGCCCTTCTTCGTCAAGTGTCTGGCACTTTAGGATTGTCGAGTACGTTCGCTCGTCCTGAAAAATGCTTGTTTCTGACTTTGCAATTCGGTACTCACGCTGGTGTTGCCGACAGTGTCAAACAGACGATCCATGGCTTCCTGGAGGACAGGCAGGAAGTTGTCAGGCGCTGTAGTCGGATCGATATCGACAGTTGCCGTCGCTTGATCCATTCTAAGTCCTCGTGCTCTCGTCTTTGAGAGTTGCAGTCGGAAATCTATCGAAAATCTCGTCAATGTTTGTGAGACAAAGCCCTACCTTTTCCGTCTAGTTTCTTCTTTATCCCGTCGAGAACGTCCGGGGCAATTGCGTGTTCTAGAAAAAAGCGTTCTATGAAAATACTGTGTTTCGGTATTACCGTCAAACATTGAGTTGAGTCCCGCATTATCGTTGAGAATCTCATCTTCCTCAACGTCAACATCATTAGCAGCACCACCGTAGATGACATGCCTTTCCTAAAGAAATCATGAAAGACTCGGGAAAGCTAACTTACCACTTCAATCTCTGAAGTTTCGTCTCTGGCACGATTTAGGGGTACCGAATTCTCTCCCTAAAAAAGGATGTTAATTGGCTTTCGGAGCTCGACTTACATCTGAAGAGAAACGGGGAGTTCCATCAGTCCTTCTCGCTTTTCGCTAAAAATCACAGTTAAGTCAGTGGTTTCAAGTGGGACTACCTTGAGTTTCGTCTTTTCATGGTGATCAGAAGGCGGCGGAGTTGGCGGAGGCGGAGGCGGAGGCGGAGGCGGAGGCGGAGGCGGAGGCGGAGGAGGCGGAAGAGGTGGAAGTGGTACACCCGGCACCTAAGAACGTACTTTTAGGGGTCATTTACATCTGCTCACCTGTATACCATTGGGTGCTCCTCCAGGATTCATTAGTGCAGCAGCTAAAAATTTATGATTAGATATCTGTGTTAGAGGAAATTTACCTGCTGCTTGATTGGAAACAAAATTGTTCCAGGCCCATATCAAATGGGAAAAGTAGGCGTAGTCGTAGTCGTTGTAGTAGCTCATGTTGATGTATGAAAACTGACGCAAAATGCTCCATCTTATACTGCTCAAGCGACGCGTGGGCGTGGTTTATTATTAAAAAATAGTGCGTCAAATTGAGAGAGCTCAATGAAGCTCGATTTTTGGAGGCTTTATAAGACCGGATTTTCCTCATTTTATCATTCAACCAAAGCTACATAACAAACGACGATGTCTTCAATTACTCCTTTCCTCGCTCCGACCGACGGTACCGTACGCCCGATGACCCAGAAGCAGTTTGTCTGCTCTATTGGACCCCGCGATCATCAGAATCCCATGCTGAAGATCCCCCTCTGCAAGTCTTGTCTTCGCACTACCACCAGCCTTGGCAAAGAGACGAATTGCATCTTCAAGGTGATGATCTGCGAAGCTTGCCAAGTCGTCAACATTGCTCAACGATTCCCAGGAAACGGCTCAACTACCCAGCAGCCTACGCACTAATGGAAACCCTCATTTTTTCTATATATCCTGTTAAGTAAATGTCTGAATAAACAAGTTTATTATTTGAACTGAGAGTCACTTAAATCACAAAACACATCTTCCTGTGCAATTGAAAAAAAAGTGAAGAAGAGAGACAGGGAGGGGAGGAGTGGGGGGGGGATACAGGGAGAGGGAAGAGTCTCACACCTACACTTCTCCCAATGTTGTCTCTTTCAACCGATAACAGCCTGATTGTATATCCTCAAGCCAGGTATCAGAAGCTGAACTGTGCTGTTCAAAATCAGATGAAGTCTCATCAGAAACTTTGGAAATTTTTGGATGAAATCTCTCATCTCCGCATTGCCACATATCACGGATATCTGGTTCACATTTGCTATCGAAGCAAAACGGGACTGTTCGGACAGACATCTCGTCGTGAGACATGAAAGTACCAACAAAGACATGCCTGAAAAAACGACTTCTCCTAGACGAGAGTGTTGTGAGTTTTCTGCTATGACACGCTGCTGCTTATTACTCTCAGTGAGTGTGAATCGTCATCAATTGATCGAATTTAGTACCCTCTATTATCAACGGAAGACGTTTGGCACTTGCTTGTCTTAAAGAGATAAGGACAGCGAAAGGTCAATCGGTTACGCAGGGAAAGGGGGTGTCTCAGTGCCTCTTTCCTGGGCGCCCTCTCTCACCGCCCCATCTATTGAACCCTCCCAGAGGGGGATCAAAAGATGCCGCCCCTATCCCTTTAATGAAAGATATAGCATGACAATTCATGAAAAGAAACAGACTTTGTAAAATCTATTTGTAACATGCCTTTGTAAAAATATATCTGTAAAAAACAGGTTTTGTATTTCAGTTTGGCATATTTTTTGGTTGGTCCCTTTTTTTAGGCATCTCTGGCCGGGCTCCGCAGGCCCAATTCTAGGTCAAGATCCATTACACTATATCCATTCATAACAAAGGCCGTCCCGACAGTGTTGCGCAATTAGCAAACAATGACGGACAGCCCGGACCCTCCGGGCATCCACCCCCCTGACCTTAATCCCCTCTAAGGGAGTCCCCTCAAACAGCTGTTGCGTAACCCAGAAAAGTTATGTTGACCTGAAGTGACCGGACGATGCGGTAATCCGATGATCATGGCGACAGTTAAGCTTTCTCTGCCTCTCTTTCTCTCTTCATCCCCTCTCTCTCCTTCTCTCTTTCCTTCTTTTTCGTTCTCTCTCTCTTACTTTCGCTCTCTCTTTCTCTTTCGCACTCTCTCTCTTACTTTCGCTCTCTCTTTCTCTTTTTCGCTCTCTCTCTCTTTCTCTCTCTCTCTCTCTCTCTCTCTCTCTTCCTTTTCTTTCTTTTTCTCGTTTTTTCTCTTTGTCTCATCGACTTTCCCCATCTCTCACTCACTTCTCTCATACACACACTAAAGGTAAGGGTATTGTCGTGCCTAGGCGAGCCGGTAATCTGACGCACCCGGTATTCTGATGATGAGCGGAAGTGTCAGTGTGGGGGGTCTTTAGCATGTTGAGGGTTCGCTATGCTGCGGGGTCCTTAGCATGTTGAGGCTTCGCTATGGTGCGGGGTCTTTAGCATGTTGAGGCTGTCACTAAGGCCGCTTTAAAGTTGGGAAAATACAATTTAATGATAATATCGGAGTCTCCTTGAGGCTCCGTTCCGGGGGCCCGGACCTCATTTCGACTGTAAAAAAATGCAAAAATCCCATTTTCCGGTATTTTCTATTAATCTCGTTTTTTGGGAGCTCGACAAGCCAAGACAACTGGCAACAAGTTGCGCAACACGGTACTCTCGCACACACCCTCTCTCTCTCTCTCTCTCTCTCTCTCTCTCTCTCTCTCTCTTTCTCTCTTTCTTTCTCCCTCGCTCTCTCTCTCTCTCCCTCCCTCGCTCTCTCTCGCCCCTTCTTTCTCTCTCGCTCTCTCTCTCTCGCTCTCTCTTTTTCTCTCTCTCCCTCGCACTCTCTCTTTCTCTCGCTCTCTATCTCCCTCTCTCTCACACCTACACACACACACACTATAGACAGGTTAGGTGCGCCGGTAACTGCAAGTAGCCCGGGCCAGGCCCGGGTGCGCCGGTTGTCGCAATATATACTACTGGTAGGGCTTTTTCTTATGGTAGATCTGGAATTTTGAATTTTCTGAATATGAAAAAAGCTATATTTCATCTATATTTTGGTCCCAGAAAAAGCCAATACCTTCCTATAGATTCCACGACTTCCCGGTCCCTTTAAGCCCCGCCCCTTCTTTGGTCCCCCCTGGGTTTCGCAACCGCCCTGTATACATAATATACCTTTTTTGCCCCGTTTTTCGATTGCCTAATATGATTTTTATTACTAACCGCATCAGCATTACACTGTTTTATTTATTTTGTCTTTAGTTTGTATTTTCGGCATGACCTGTATGAGTTCCTCTTCATCTACTAATTTTATTAACCACTAACCCGCTAGCAAAATTTTTTACTTCGATTCCAGGATCTCTCTTATTCGCGCACACACCACACCGGAAAATGGGTACTCGAGGAGCCAATTGCAATTTTTCATTTTTTAACCTTTTTTTTCCGCGATTATACTGTAATTTTTACATAATAAATTGTTCCTAAAGAACATGAACGGATTTCAAGTTAGAAACGCTCAACATTAATTGGTTACGATAACACTACGCTACATTCCACGCAACACTCCGCGATTACGCCATTAAATTCACAAGATTTGTTAAAGGGATGCCGACGGTAGCCCTTTAACAAACTCCACGCGTAATTATGCAAGCTCAGAAATGAAAAGTGATATAAGCTTCTCAACGGCCTCATCGGAGATGGTGTACAACGAATCGGTCGAGTAATCTTTGGCAATGTTCTTGTGCGTTTCATCCTCAAAAAAAACATATAATTTAATTTATTTCTTTTAAAAATTACCAAAGTGGTGGCGCTCTTCTCCCAGACGGCCGGCTCGCCGAATTTCACGTTGTGGACGTCACCGACGAATCGGCTGTCGCACATGCCCACTTGTTGGGCGCCTATAATGCATAGTTTTTAAAGGGCACGTTCAGGGAGGTTTTTTGGCAAGAAAGCAAAGATTTTCGCTGTGGCCGGGGGTCGAACCCGGGTCCTGGCGAGAGTCCGGGGGGCGCCCTACCCCCGGAAAGGAGGGGGATGGCCTCCCACGGCACGCGCAGGCAGCGCGCACGGTCCCTACGTCCATAGGGTGTACACGTTGGCACGGGTACACGGCCCCTCCCTGAACGTGCGCTTTAACGCTCCCAGCGTTTCTTGTTGCTGCATAAACTATCCAAATACCATTAAAAACTCTTAAACTTCGCTACCTAGGATCGACAAAATAATTATAATCAATTTCCCAATAAGCAAACAGCTTATGGAGGTATGGGGAATTGAACCCCAGACCTCTCGCATGCTAAGCGTGCGCTCTACCACTGAGCTATACCCCCAGGCGAGAGAGGGGATTGAGATGGCAACCATATGGCAGGTGTACCATTGCAATAAACGACTAAATTTACACTTTACATCCACCCGAATTTGAATCCCGGAACGAGAATCGCTGGCGTACAGACTCTTTCGGTCTCAATAACGGTATCATTTCCCACACAACTTCCCTCCAGGGCGCCGTCTCCCTTCTGTCCTTCAACCCGGTCAAGCGTTCGACGTCTCGTTTGGATCAGAAGCTTCATCCACCGTTGTGTCGAGTCGTCCGGAATCGCGGCCAACGATTCAACAGGGTAACCTTTTTGTTTCGTAGAAACAATTAGAATAGCTGCACTGCATTGAAAAATCTTCTGCTAAGATGCAATTCGCGAAAAAAAAACAAAAAATTTCGCAGCGGGCGGGGGTCGAACCAGGGATGGTCCGCTCCACAGCCCAAGATGCTAGCCACTACACCACGCTGCGAATGGGGGGGGGGGCCGCAGCGAAAGGCCCTCAAAAAGCCTTGCGACCCTCGTTTTTGGATTTCTTGCTTTGGCCTGCGTCGGAATTTCGCTTTGCATAAAAGCTACGAATTCTGAATATGAATTACTCCAATAGTAAGTAGCTTCTCACAATCAGATCAATCTGACATTTAACAGCACCGAGATGCACCACCGGCACCTCTCAACCGGCTACCCACCTCGGAACGTCTTCAATGGGGTCTCAAGCGGCCTACTTCTGGTGCTCGTCTCCGCACTGCTGATCTCTTCAGTTGCCGCCACGCAGATCCGGTATCTTCATTTTTTTAGCTCCTGAGCTTAGCTTTTCCGTTGTAAATTTGTATACCATTTTTGCAGGAGCACTAACAACTCGCAACTCGTTGGCATCGACCGTCAGCCCAGGGATGGTGGCATAACGGTGATAATTGATGTATTCCCGCCGCAATAACTTATCCTTCCAGTGCCCGGAATTTCGCCCGTTTGTTTGCTACGTCTATGAGGAACTTGGCCAGGACTACCCGGCATGGCTCAAGAAAGTTGGGGATGACAGTGATGCAGATAAGATGAAGGTAATGAAAAGCACCTACTCTCTCCTCTTACTCTGGCTCCTCTTACAACCGATATTGGTAGTAAGAGGAGCTGACGGGCTATTTGGTTTTTAACTTAAGCTTAGGCTTAAGCGTAAGCCCAAGCTAAGCTCATAAGTTGCTTCAGGAGGTGAAAATAAGGTCATTTGGACCTTAGCTTAGAGGCAAGCTTAGCTTGGCTTAAGCTAAACTCAGGTTTCGTTCGTACGAAGCTAAGGTTTCTAGGTTTAGGCTTAGATTAGCTTTTCCGCAAGCTCATGGTTTGAAAAACGGCGTTTGGAGCGTCTTGTAGTCAAAATCGGACTGCCCCCTCGCTGCATTTGCACCCCTATCCTATCCGGTACTAATGCAGTTAAAGGGCACGTTCAGGGACGTTTTTTGGGAAAAAAGCAAAGATTTTTGCCGCGGCCGGGGGTCGAACCCGGGCCCCCCGCTCGGGAGGCGCGGATGTATACCAGTCAGCCACAGCTACAACCTGGGGAGGGGGCGCCCCACCCCGCAAAGGAGGGGAATGGCCTGTCACAGCACGGGCAGGCCGTGCGCGCGGTCCCTACGTCCATAGGGTGTATACGTTGGACAGAGTATACGGCCCCTCCCTGAACGTGCGCTTTAAAGGCGGGCAGTCCGAAATTGGTGGTAAGAGTAAGCTCCGCTTAAGCTGCTTGGTATGCTTAGCTTAGCTTAGACTAAGGCTGAAAATTAAAGGGCTGCCGACGGCATGTGTCGTTCTCCCCCCATCAACAAATTGGCAAGTAGCCAACGGGGCAGAGAGCGCGCCCAGGGGAGAGGCGCAGAGACATTTTCTTTCCAGCGCGTAACCGAGTGATCATGCCGTCGGCATCTCTTTAAGCACAAGCTCAAACTAAGCTCAGGCTTTGTTTGTATGAACCTAAGCGCTCACGGTCATTGTATCCAAGGAGCCGGATTTTTAGTGCGTAACTTGCGCCGTGGAGAAATTCAAGGAATGTCGGAGCACGGACAGCTTCACCGCTAACATCGCTGCGGGTGGGAGGGCGAGAACCGAAAGCTGTCGTCCAAAATTCTGCGTACGTTTTGTTGGCTTTTTGGTGTAGAGCCTGTATAGAAGCCGGATGCGACCGAAGCAGCCGATTGCATAGCCCCCGTCAAAATCAATGACAACAAGGGTGGGTGGATCGTATCGTGCGGCTTAAAAGTGTGTTTCTAGAGACGCTGTACTTTCCCTTCAACCTGTGTACACGCGAGATGGTGGCCTCTGGGCAATGCGAAGGGAAGAGTTTGTAGGCGATCGTTGGCTACAATTTGAATGGCGTCTCCTTTTAGTAGCACTCGACCATATATGCCTGGTTCCATGCCCCATACGACGCAATACTTCCTTCAATGCGATGCTGGATTTGTCATCCCGCAGTGAGTGTTTTGGATCGAACCTGCTTATAGGAAAAGCTCGTATGATCTTTGTTTAGAAAAGTGGTTGCTGCTGCTGCTGGGGACAGAAAATTCAAGGAGACCTGCATTCCAAGCCTTCAGCTGGCAGCTGGATACATGCAAACGGACCAAACAGGGCTCGACAAGAACCCCTATGACGTCTTCGATCCTCTGCAGCCCAAGGTAAAAAGTCGGACCAAACCAAAATTTAATTGATATTTAGTATTGTCCGAAGGGAGGTCGTCAAGCTGGTGAAAAGTGCGACCCGCTGCATCTTTGCCTTCCCGACCCAAAAGCCATGTTTGTTTTCACCAGCTATGGGATCTTGTTTAGAAAGTTCTTTCCTGGCGAAGGGGATGTGATAAAAACGTCGGCAGAATGTGATGAGCAGTGCGTGTTCCCGCGTCCCGATGGAAAGTACACTCCGAAAATCTGTGTCCTTTTGGATATCAGCGATCCGCAGGGCACCCCTCCATACTACACACTTCGTCGGGCTCTGGTAAACCACTATGTTTATTCGCTCTCTCTCCTCTCTCTCTCTCTCTCTCTCTCTCTCTCTCTCTCTCTCTCCCTCTCTCTCTCTCTCTCTCTCCTCTCTCTCTCTTCCCTCCCTCTCTCTCTCTCTCTCTCTCTCTCTCTCTCTCTCTCTCCTCCTCTCTCCTCTCTCTCCCTCTCGCTTGCTTTCTCCCTCTCTCCCTCTCTCTCCCTCTCTCTTGCTTTCTCGCTCTCTCTCTCTCTCCCCTCTCTCTCTCTCTCTCTCTCTCTCTCTCTCTCCCCTCTCTCTCTCTCTCTCTCTCCCCTGTCTCTCTCCCTCTCTCTCGCTTTTGCTCTCTCCCTCTCACTCGCTCTCTCTCTCTCTCTCTCTCTCTCTCTGTCTCACTCTCTCTCACTCTCTCCCTTCTCTCTATCTATCTCTCGTCGCTAACTTTCTGAATTTCAGTCGGGACCGTACGCCTCGTTGAAGAGCGAGGAAGAGACAATTGACCTCTTGGCGAGTTTAAAAGTTCCCGAATCCCCTGCCGGGCAGGTTCTACTTTTCCTGAGGCTGGAGACCATTGTTTCTAGACATCCGTCGACAAGGAGAAGGCAGAAACACAGCAAGGGGCTCGTGTCAAACGTCAGGGCTCCGCGCTTCCAGCAGTCTCCTATCCGCGCTGCATCAAGACCGACGGGCTGCCGGTATACACACTATCATCTAGGTTTTTGAGATTTCTGAACTTTTTCCATACACTTCTGGCCAAAAAGTTTTGGTTTTCGAGATTATTAATGCTATATAATACATTTTACATCGTTTTTTTGACATAAAAACCAAACTAAAAATAAAAATGGCCGAAAAAGAGGTCAAATTTCCGGATTTTCAGAATTTTTGAAAAACATTGGGTTCACTTTTCAGCATTAAGAAACCGTAAACACACAATGAAAATCGGTTATCCGAATCGAAGCCGAAATATCGTTATCGAAATTGGAACATATAGGTCGAAAACAAAAAATGGTCCTCCTGAACAGTCCGGCACCAAAACCTCACCCCCCCGCTAGTGAACCAGTACCTTTTCCAGGCCGATCAGAAGGCCATCGTACAAGCCGACGAACTGCTTGATTGCGACAAGAACCCGTTCTACAAGGAGCTGGGCAACGAATCGCTGACCGTCACCAAGTTGCAGCTTTGCACTGAGGTCGATCCGAACCAGGTATCCGGCCATTACACAAAAATACTCCCTTCTCATTGTACAGGGTGTCCCCCAAAAAAAAGTGCCCCCTTTAGCGGCCCGCGGCGCTCATTCGCGCCCGATTTTCACGGTTTAGTTATCTATCGAAAGCTCTCGAAAAGGTGAGAAACAAGGAACGTTCATTGTTTTTATTATGTACTTTATTCGCGAACTTTATGCCCAAAAACCATGAAAATTGTGGAGTTATGAAAGGTGCATCACGAAAAGCATATTAATTGCGAAATTACGATCGAATTACTTGTTTTTTGGAAAGCGTTAAATATCGATAAAATGAGACTAAATTTTGAAAATGCAACCCACTTGCTAACTCGCGTTTTGGAGAGCTTTCGAATGGGATAAAACTCATCCCGACCTGACGTTTCTCCGAACAGCCAGAGGGGCTGCTTTTTTTTTTGGGGGAAGGGGGGCGCCCTGCAGTGCTATTATTTATTTTCAGAAATTCTGCTTGTCCACTGAAGATGATGACAAAACGCTGATGGTCATCATCGTCGTGGCCGTCGTCGGCACCGTGTTGTTGATCGTCGGTGCCGTCGGATTGTGGTTGTGGGTGCGCTCACGGCGCCAAAAGCGTGAAAAGAAAGAGCCTGTCAACTCCCCGAAGAGCCAAGGAACCAAGTAGGCATTTTCTTAGCCCGTGTAAGCAACCGGAATTCTGGCCTTCCCAGACTTTCTTTGTTAAATCCGTAAATATTGGGAAAAATTGTGCACCCCCGTTAACTTTAAAGAACCATCCCTTTCTACTATCGGGCTCAAAATTTTCCTGAAAAGTTCCCAAAAAACCCGGGAGTGAATTGACTAGCAACTGAAGTAACTGTAAACTGAATTTTTTAGGAATAACTCTGGCGAGGACGAGAAGTCGGCCGAATGAGAGGAGAAGCAACCGCGAGCGGCGCCTCCAGCCCTAACACCAGCCCGAGGCGCGCCGCCCTATTGCATAGAGAAAATCTGCTGGTCCTGGTGATTGGCTCCAACGCTTTTTGCAAAGCGAATCTGTGATTTGTACACTGGTGGAATAAAGGGTTTCCGCAAATATTGTTGTTGGGTAAACACGTCTACACTGCATTTGTTTTTCAAATATTTACACACAAGCAATTGGTTCTTCCTCGTTTCTCAATTTTGTATCGCACAATAAATGGTTTCTCTCAAAGGCCTGGGATTGAGGGCCAAAAATGTGTCAGGACGAGCCTGAAGAGACGGCACGACTTTTCAACGTAGGAATATGTGAATGCGACTTCGATAACTTACGGTAAAGGGTTTTTTTGTGTCTTGTCTTTGTATCTTGTGCAGAATTTTTTGCTGATTCCGAATACAATTTCCAAGTTTGCTAATTAGTCCTCGTTTAAAAGTTGTGGCGCTTTTAACCACTTATTTGCCGAAAACTGTGGAGCTTTGGGCTCGATTTTTTATCTTCCCAGCTGATTTTCCCAATTCTTTTATTTTGAATATAACTATTTTGAAAATAGTAACGCCATCGTTATCAAAAAATTTTGTTCGATCGAATGAGCCCTGCAACTCAAAATTTTCCAAAACTGAAGAATTGGTAATGGTTGGTATGGACTCTGATTTTCCTATGGATTTGGTAAAATATTGTCCACCTTCGCTCGTCCATAAACTGCGGCCTAGAAGCACTCTGGTTTCAATGACGTATGCTATTCGAGGCAGAAAAAACTTTCTAATAATTGTTGTTGTAAGAACTTTTTTATAGTAATTCGACCACGGCGAACATTGTGAGATATTTGGCGCATTAATAGGACCTATGGCTGAGGCGCTGGGCTTGGGGCGTAAACTAAACTCTAAGCCGGAAATTTAGTAGTCCACGGCCCCCGCGTTGATTCCTGGCAAATAGCCAGATGCGGCGGCCACGCGACCGCGCCACATGTTATGTTGCGCCCTGTTTGGACTCGGCAACGCTTGAATTTAAAAATTCAGAAGCTATTTCCGTACTCCGCGTCGGATTTTGATCATCATAATCCTTTTATTTAAGAAAATTGACCAGATAATCTTTGCTTACAAGGCTTAATTGTGTGCCTTGCAAAGGATTACGACACGTAATCGTCGCGCACTCAAACAGGCGTTTTCGCACCAAGAAAAATTTCGGTTTTATTCAAGTATTTTACGGTTTTTCGTAACGAAATCACTTTTCTAAGCCTTTTCGGCAGTGACCCTTTCGTTTTTTACCAGTAGGCTCAATCACCGTGCGCACGAATTTCGACTTCCGAGCCCCTTTAGGGAAATTCTGAAAACAAAGTCTTTTTCGCCGTGGCAGATTATGCAAGATCAGCTTGGTCCTATCCCGAATCTCGGGGCTCACCTAGTGCATTTCCTTAGCAAGATTTACATCGGTATTGCTTGAGTCACTTTTTTGCATCTGCTTTGCAATTTGAATCCCGGAACGAGAATCGCTGGCGTACAGACCCTTTTGGTCTCAATAAAGGTATCATTTCCCCCACAAGTTCCCTCCAGGGCACCGTCTCCCTTCTGTCCTTCAACCCGGTCAAGCGTTCGACTTCTCGTTTCAATCAGAAGCTTCATCTACCGTTGTGTCGACTCGTCCGGAATCTCGGCGAACGATTCAACAAGGTAACCTTTTTGTTGGTAGAAGGAATTAGAATAGCTGCACTGCATTGAAAAATTTTCTGGTAAGATGCAATTCGCGAAAAAGCAAATAATTTCGCAGCGGGCGGGGGTCGAACCAGGGATGGTCCGCTCCACAGCCCAAGATGCTAGCCACTACACCACGCTGCGAAAGGAAGGGGCCGCAGCAAAAGGCCCTCAAAAAGCCTTTCGACGCTCGTTTTTGGGTTTTCTTGCTTTGGCCTGCGTCGGAATTTTGCTTTGCATAAAAACTACGAATTCCGAATGTGAATTACGCCAATAGTAAGTAGCTTCTCACAATCAATCTATCTGACATTTTACAGCACCGAGATGCACCACCGGCACCTCTCAACCGGCTACCCACCTCGGAACGTCTTCAATGGGGCCTCAAGCGGCCTACTTCTGATGCTCGTCTCCGCGCTGTTGATCGCCTCGGCGGTCACCACGCCAATCCGGTACACTCTTTGTTTTTCTTTGTCGACTTTTTTGGGCACCGCAAAATCTCTCCGATCAACGTTACGAAACACTCCGCTTCCTTCACTTGACTTCCAGCTTAGGCTTAGGCTTAGCTTGGTTAAACCTAACCCTAGCTTAAGCCCCGGCTTAGGCCTAAGCTTGGCTTAGCTTTAGATTACCCTAATGAATCCAAAGACTTAATTTCGTTGGCTTGCTATCGGATACCTTACGTACCTTTTGGTTTGGTCTGGGCTGCCAATGAGGGCCAAGCTCGGGTTTAAGCTTGGCCTAATTTATGAGTGAGCTTAGAAATTAAAAAAACGTAGCTTGAAGCGACTTGGAACCTTGCACTGGACCCCTCTCCCCCGTTCTGCATTAGCACCCTCCTTTCTTTTCTTTTTTAGCTTCTGAGTCTAATTTTTCGTTGAGAAATTTTTGCAGGAGCACCAACGACTCGCGACTCGCTGGCATCGGCCGTCAGCGGAGGGATGCGAGCACCCCGGTTCGTGTTTGACGCCGTAACGAGCGCCTGGCTTTGCGTCTCAATGTTTTACATTTCTAGTGCCCCAGCTCCCGTCCGTTTGTTTGCTACGCCTTCGACGAGCGCGTCCAAGACTATCCACCGTGGCTACAAACTACCGATACGCAAAAAGAGGCGGACAAGGTAAGGAGGGTATCGTTTCTTTAGCAGTCGCGCTGGAGGGGTCGTGATCCCCGCGGTGACCAACCTCAAAAATTCGCAGCGTGTGTAAACTATTCCAAAATTGGGGGAGGGGTAAACTGCACTTAAGCCGTGCTTGGAGTAAAAAAACTTTTGGTAAGAATTTACTTTACCCCCCCGCAGCCGAAGTGTCCCAACGTTGTCGGTATTTTCGCTTATTTTGTCGGGGATTTTTGCAACGCCATTCGATAGAGCGTCGAAAAATATAATAAGAGTTTTAATTTGAGCCTACAATAATGTAAAATAAAAAAGTTATAGCCAAAAACTTCCGGCTGGGGGGGTAAAGTAAACCGTAGCCAAACTTTTTAAACTCGAAAAGCTGATTAAAAACTTTTTAAAGCGTTCAAAATCTAGAGGCTTCAGTGCAGTTTACTCCCCCAGCCGCAGTCTCGGCTCCATGTTCATCTAAGGTGTGTAAGGTATACCAAAATGTTCGCCTTGCTCTGGCGAATATTTTGGTATACTTTACACACTTGTAGATGAACAGGGAGCCGAGATACACAAGTTGGGTACCGGCTGGGGGGGAGGTAAACTGCACTCTAACCAATCTCGAAATTGGACCAGCGCGCACTGCTGTCGCATAGTGAACAAGTAGCGCGATGCTGAGATGCTTTTTTCTAGTGCTCGTCATGTGACGTCGCAGCCGTCGCGGCGGAGTGCTATGATGGTCAGCTCTTGACCGCAGATTTTCGGCTTGGTAAAAGGCTAAGAGCCGATGGGTGTCGTCCAAAACTATGTGTAGGTCTTTCCGAGTTTCAGCACATAGTTCTTCCAGAAGCGTGATGCGCCCGAAGCAGCCGATTGTATAGCCCCCGTCAAAATCAATGACAACAAGGGTGGGTGGATCGTATCGGGTGGGTAAAATTGTGTTTCTAGAGACGCTGTACTTTCCCTTCAACCTGTGTACACGCGAGATGGTGGCCTCCGGGCTATGCGAAGGGAAGAGTCTGTAGGTCATCGTTGGCCACAATATGAATGATGCCAACTTTTAGGAGCATCGAAGCATATATGCCAAAAGCAATCCCACACACGACGCAATACTTCCTCCAATGCGATGCTGGATTTGTCATCCCGGAGTTAGTGAACGTTGTATTATCCGACGAACCCTACCTACTGCCAGAAAAGCATCATCGGTTTTCGGTTGGGGGTGGTGGTTTCTAGTGATAATGTAGTTTATTTTACTGTTTAGTAGCCGATATCAAAAATATAAAAATATTTATCCTTGTATAGTAGAAATCTAGGGTTATAGGCGGTTTGATCATATAGTTGACCGAAATTTTTCAACATGTTTTATGACGTTTCTTTGTCTCCTCCCTGTCAACATTTCAAAGGAAAGTTTAAAAGGCCAGTTTATAGCGCGGATATTCGGGTGTCCCAAAAAACCCTGGTTTGGGTTTTATCGGTGGGGAAATTTCAGTGATGGGGCTATAAATTGTGAGAATTTCTAGAAATATTGTACCAAAAAGTTATTGCTAAAACTGATTTTGGAAACGCTGGTATGTTTTTGGTATGTTTCAAATAGTGATTTTGAGTAATTTTCAAAATGGTATTTCTGGTTGTTTCTGGTTTCGATATAAAAGTGATCAAAGGCCCAATTAAACGTAATTTTCGTAAATCAAAATTTTCGGTGAGGTGCTTTATTTTTGTAAAATTTCGGGCCGAAATCCGTCAAAATCTTAGTGTCGGAATATTAATTTTATATCTTTTTTGTTTTATTTTCTTGTTTCGGCTGCACATAGTTTTGGGTCCCATCACTGGTAATTGGTCCCGAGCGTGGAAGATGGAAATGGAGGGGGTTTTTGGGACACCTGTAGAAGTTCAACGACCCGCTAAAATAACGACCCCGATAACAGGGTCTTCTTTAGAATGGTTCTTACTGCTCACGCCGCGGACAGCAACGTCCGAGAAACGTGCATCCCAAGTCTCCAACTGGCCGCCGGATACCTGCAGACGGACAAAACACCACTCGAGAACAACCCCTACGACGTCTTCGATCCCATGGATCCTAAGGTAAAGAATTGAGCTAAACGGACAAGGATTTGATCTTTAGTATTGTCCGAAGGGCGGTCGTCAAGCCGGTGAAAAGTGCGCCC